ATGCTGAGCTGAATTCCCAGCATTCAGGGTTGTACAACTTTGATGCTGAGCATTGAATGTATAGAGTCTACCGATGGCAGAGTACAGAATGGATTCTGCATCCATGGGCCAAGGCGATAACGTGTCCAAACTCCACAGGCCGCATGCCTCTTGCCATGGCGTTTGGGTCCTGGGTGTCCAATGTCATAATGTCACGGTCAAGATCTGAACATCCTCCGAATGGATGCTACACTGCTACACATGCAGCAAGGTGGTTCACAAAGTGAAGACTTTCCGTGATCCAATTTGTAACCATGCTTATCACCTTTGCATCGGTTATGGTCAAGAATTTACGTCATGTCATGTCAGTAAGCCCTATTCAGCTGATGCAGGTTAACGGTAGACGAGGCATGGCACTTCTACCACGGTGCCATGCTTGGGGGGGTTGAGGTTGGCTGCAAACAACTTGACCTGGACCTTCCATTTTTTTTGAATATGGGGTTTGTGGCACTGCGATGAGTCGACGAATCATTTTGTCGCTTGGCGTATTCACAGCTCTTTGACAAATCATCTCTAAGGTTCCCCTGTCACGATTGTGGAGTTGGACAGCTCAGTCAGTTTCCCAGAACACACGCCGTAGCCAAGTTATAGCAGATCACAGCATGTTACGGCGCAAGTTCTGCCACACGCAGCTTGATGCAGCTTTATGCACCTTGAACAGGTTGATGGCCATGTCAGGACAACTCGCACTGTGCTTAGAGTTCAGCATACAATCGAACGGAACTGAACATATGCTATTAAATAACGAGGAAACACAGTGAAAATGAGCACCAGATCTAGTAACATATACAGCTTCTAGTAATACCATCGAGTGACCAACAGAGTGATTGCGTCAAGATGCATCAATTATCGTACATATTGATCGGATTCCAAAGGCACTGAAGACATCTAGAAAGATAGCAATGAAGACGATCAATATGAAGGCACAGACTAAACAGAATGAAGAGGATTCCAAGAGGATTCCTGACAGCGATTCAAAGGGCCGACGTCGGTGCAAACCCCATCTGGTCATCTGGATTTGAGGCCTGGGTTCTGTTGAATTAGGTCTTTGTGCGGAGCCCAGCGCCTTGTGGAGGTGAGATCATGATCGACCTGCAGGACCAAAAGGCAGACATCATCATGTTAGATCACATTTCAATACATTTCAATACATTTCAATACATTTCAATACATTTCAATACATTTCAATACATTTCAATACATTTCAATACATTTCAATACATTTCATCGTCATTTCATATTAGGTCCGCAGTATACTGTCCAGGCAGGAACTTGGCCAGCTGCTCAGCCTCAGACGGGCCCACCTTGTTAGTACATTGCAGTGCCGTATATTAATACTGTACAATGCTTACTGTGTCACTCACGAGTCCTTTCAAGTCCTTTCAAGGTTAAAAAGCAAACGAGCTGAGGATCAACCTGAGTTGGACTTTCTGGATTTTTCTGACAATTTCTGACATATTCTGACATATAGGTTTGGAGCCTTTCCGGAGGGTGCCTTTGCCCTCGTAGGCCGCGGTTTCACCCCTGGCATGTGAGTTGAACGATGTTGAACGATGTTGAACGTTTAGGCCTGTGAGGCTATAGGAGGATCTCGTAAGCATCGCAAGCCAGTAGTGACCGCTGCAGTGACATGCTCTGACATGCTGTGATAGGCTGCACTTGCGGCCCAGCTTTTGAGTTCAAGCATTTTGAGATGGCAGTCAGACATTTGTTGCGGGGGGCCTCAGGACCCTCCTGAGATGAAGGAATTCACAGAGAATCCCAATAAAGCGCTGCAACATGTTGGAACATGTTGGAAGGAGGATGAACCAGGCGTTTTCCATATCTTGTGTGAACCCAGGCTGGACACATACCCGGAAGCTGAGCAGCTCATTAAACGTCTCTCGTAGGCTCTTGCAGCTTGTGTCGTGTTTGCATCGGACTGTTGCGAATGCTTTTGATACCTGTCCATTTTGTCAGTTCATGTCAGTTCATTTTTCCCCACCTGCCAGTTGAGGGTCTGTATATAGATTTCAAAACATCCCGGAGGAACAAATCAACCAACCAACAACCGAACGAACCCAGCTAACTACCAACCACACACACACACACTGACTGCAGCGTGTCATCGACAGCTTCTTTGCCATTTTCATGGATACGACCACTCTATAGCAAGCTTGCCAGCTCTGTACGGCGCATCGGACCCGAACCTTATGCCAGAAAGAAAGAATGCCAGATTGGATGCCGCATAGAATGCCAGACAAGATGCCAGATAGAGCGTCAGAAAGAATGCCAGATAGAATGATGGCAGATAGAAGGTCAGAATATAGGTCAGGTGTCAGAATACATGTCAGAATGTCAGATTATATACATCACTGGAAGAAAGTTGTTTCAATTTTTTCCAACCGGTGGAACAGTCTTGAAGAATCCTTCGTGCTGTCAGGGCTGGCGGCCGGGCCGCAGTGCAGACTGAGACCGTCCACAATAGCAAAGCTCGCATGGTGCGACACTGAAACTAGCTGGCTGAAATCTAGCCTTTAAATTTTTGCATCCTCCGGATGCAAGAAACCTCCTAAGTGAGGCAATGCACAAACCACAAAACTTGGGAATCTTGCGGACTTCATCAAGTGCCACTCCTCCCTTTGACTGTGATGGAAACTATGAACCCCCTTCCAGAACCGTGGCGTCCTGTTAGATCTATAATTAGTTTGGAGCCCAATTCGGGTCAATATTAGGGGCTGGGATTGCACATGTGTTAGTTTCATATACTACTGACAAACTACTGCCTTTTGGCGGGAAGCTCCTGAAGAAAAGCAGGTGGAGCAATGCCGCCATAGTGTGAGTCAAAGGTACGATAGATAGCATGTTTGACGTTCTGAACTCTGGTGCTCAGCACCTTGCACAGACACGCACACACAAACTCACAAGCAATTGCTTTGGGATCCGTTATAAGTTATAAGATGTTATAAGTATTTATATATTTTTATGTATATATAATTATATATATATAAAGATGTCTAGCTCAACTTCATCAAGCTAATTGCTGCAACGGTTTCCACTTCATTGCATTTTGTTTCCTTTGTTTGCGTATTGGCCTTGCAAGTTCGCTGGAACATATCACATCTTCGACGCAGCGATTTCTTTATCGACATCTCAGGCGAGGCCGTCTCGCTCCGGCGCGGCTGAGCCATGTCGAACAACCAACAAGGAAATGTGATGTACTACTACCTGGCTATGCCAGGGGCCATGCCAGGGCAGATGGGGCAGTATCCCCAGAATGGAGACGGATCAATGCAAGGGCAGACTGTGCCGGCCGTTTTTGGTGATACCTCGCAGATGCAAGGCTTCAACATGGGAAATCAGCAGTATGGCTTCGTGCCAGCTCAAGATATGCAGATGGGGCAGGCTCCAACCATGATGGCAAACGGAGCCATGAACATGGGTGGTCAGCAGGTCATGCTTGTGATGAATATGCCTGGGCAGCAGTCGAACCAGATGATGGAGGGAGGCCATGGCAATGCCTGGAATCCATGTGGGCAGGATTCCAACAATTCAGGCCAAAGTGGCCAAAACTCTGGTGTCATGATGCAGCAACAGTTTCAGCAGCAGCAGCAGCAGCAACAGCAGCAGCAGCAGCAGCAACCGCAACAGCAGCAAACGCAACAGCAGCAGTCACAGCAGCCGGTGCAGCAACAGCCCCAGCAGCAGCAACAGCAGCAGCAGCAGCAGCAGCAGTCACAGCAGCAGCCGCAACAGCAGCAGTTTCAGATTACCCCGTCGCAAAAGCAAGGCGAAAGTCGGGCATCTTGTCCGCAATTCATCAATTGTATTCATTTGTGACTTGCGCTGAGCAGCCACTATATAGTGGAGTTTCAGTTGGTCTGGACACTGTCATAGTCAGTGGATGTAAGCAGGCATCAGTCCCAGAATTACCTAAGAAATCAGTACTCACCTCATGACTTGATAGTTTCATATAGTTTCTTTGCTGAAGTGGCAGCCTTTGGAGGCAGACAACAAAGAGAGCGAACAGTCGCAAAGCGCTGCGCCACAGACTGCGGCAAAGCCGGCGGCAAAAAGAAAAGGGTGCAGAGCTCAGCCTTGGACTGGTCAGAGGTCAGACCAGAGATGGTGGAACCATTCTGGAATCGTTACGTCGTACCTAATACATCCTAATACTGTAGAGTCATGTAGAGTCTGTAGAGACCGCAAGATTTGCGTGATGATTCTTTCAGAAGGACTCTTGGAACAATCTTTCAGATAGAAACAACCAGAACCAAAAGCAATGTGACTCAATATCATGAGGCATCATCAGGCTAGCAGGTCCCAGGATGGCCCCAAGTGCTTCATGTCCTGATCACAACAGGCTTCAAAATAAGAAGCTCGACAAGAAAGAGCCGTCCGCGACTGCAGATAGTGCTGGGTCCGCTTCACAGCAAGCTAGCACCACCACTGGTGCAACTACTGGAACTAGCGCACCTGCGCCAGCGGCAGCTGAACCTGAGCGGCCAGCTGAGAGTCAGACACAGACAGCACAGAAATCCAGATGGCCACCGCCTGCAGCCTCGCTGGGTGCAACGTCACAGCGTTCATTACCTTCAGGATCTGCATCTTCCATCAAGGCCTTAAACTTGGAACCCCTTTTTAGCAATGCACCAGCTCCAGGGCGCATCAAGCCAATCCCACGGAAGGAGCTTCTTCCGCTGGATGTGCCTCAGCCAGCAGCTGATGCAGCCCCGGCCCAAACCGAAGCTCCGGCTCCAGCCCCTCAGCCCAAGCCCACCCCAGCACCCACTCCAGCCACTACCCCAGCTCCAGTGCCTACACCAACTCCAGCAACCCAGGGAACTCCGAACACAACCAAGAAGAACTTCAAGCTGAAGAATGCAGCTCTCACAAGAACGAAGACGACAGAAACAGAGGGTCAGAACAAGGAGAACAAGGAAAACAAGGAGAACAAGGAAGAGAATTCAGAGAAGCCGGTTGCAGAGCTTCCTCTGGTTTCCAATATCCCCGAAGAGATCCCATCGGCCAGGCAAGTGAACCAAGTGAAGCTGATGCCAGCCGACAAAGTCTTTGACAGGGAGCTGATGTTGCGGATTTGGAGGCTGCAGCGCAGTGAAGTGCATGCTTCAGTGTCGGGCCTGGGCACTGGGGAGCGTCCTGCTGAAAGAGTGCCAGAGAGGCGCCAAAATCCCCGATCAACACCCAACACTGAAATCAGAAGGCCAACTCGGAGGGATCCAGGAAATGTCCTCAAACAGGGAGAGAATGCTTATAGAGTCACAGAGCCCACTAGTCGTTTGGAAGAGTTGGGCAGGAGAGTTCGTGCTTTGTTGAACAAGATTTGCCCAGACAACTTGAAGACAATTGTGGAAACCCTGGCCAGCATTGAGTTGCAGAAGGCTGAAGAGCTGGAGTATGTCATCAAGATCATTTTCGGGAAAGCGCTGGTCGAGCCGCACTATTGCGAAACGTATGCAGACATGGTTTTCGCTTTGCGCACACGCTACCCGGAATTCCCTGCAGAAAATGAGGGAGAAAAGCCGCACAGTTTCACCCGAGTTTTGCTCAACACAGTCCAGAATGAGTTCGAAAGTTTGCCAACAACTTTCGAGCCCACAGACGATGACAAAGCAAAGTTCCCCAACCCAGAAGACTTGCAGATCGAAATGAAGAAGAGGAAGGGCAAGCACCTTGTATGCACGTGTATGCACTTTTGGGAAGGCAAGATGGGAGTGAACGCGGATCATTTCACATGAAATATATTAACAATTGTTACAGTAATATATTCACATATATATATATATATTCTCCGAAAAGCACTGAGTCTCTTGGAGCCTGCGGAATGTTTCGTCCAATTCCATATAACTTCGGCACGCTTGGAGACATGCAGGGACCCTGGCCACTGTACTTCATGAGTCTTTAAATCACATATTCATGCAGCTAAGGATGCTTGCGAACATGAAGTTCATTGGCAATCTCTTTTTGCGACAGTTGCTTGCTGTCAAGGTCATCGGACAGGCCGCGTAAAATCCGGTCCTTTGCTATGGTCAGAAGTTTGCAATTTTCCATCTTTTACTTGTCTTCTGTGGCCACAACATCTACGGACTGTAAATTTAAATAGCAATGTGATGCTGCGAAGCATACTGACTTTGTGATTGCTTTGGAGGTGGTTCACGACCTGGTCGGCATCAAGGAAGGAAATGCTCTTCCAGAGGAGCACATGATCGAATGCGTTTGTGAGTTACTGCAAGCGATTGGGTTCACGCTGGATGACTCTTGGTCCAATTGTTAAATCCTGGAAGAGTCAATGCTGAGACCTCGTTTTGTGTATTGATGTGTTGTTCCATTGACATTATGCTACATCGTTTGCGCAGCCTGACCACCTGCCAAGGAAACTACGCAGGGAGAGTCTTTGATGAACTCTTTTGCTTCGAGACTCAAAGATATTTCATCCATTCGAGTTGGGGGCAAGGCCGCTTTCGGCAAGAGACGCTCGGCGACAAATATGACAAATAGCACATCAAATTAATATAAATCGAATTACATGTGAGACATATTGAGAAAGTAGGTGGCATATGAATGAAACATGTTGGTATATATTTCAGCACAGCTTGCTCGCAGTGCATGTGCAAGTTTGTCATCAATTGCCAACCTTGAGACTTCTTGCACCAGCCCCTGTCACGAGACTGGATTTGGTCGTGCCTAAGGAATCCAATTCTCGCTTCTTGGCCACACCGTTTATGTCTAAATGCGGATTTGCCTGTCTTTCTCTGTAGATACTTATCGCATCTTATTGCTTTATATAGTGGTAACCTTTGATGATGGACAGAGAGATTCAGGATCGAATACTTGCTCGACCTTCGCAAGAATAAGTGGCAGTGTCCTGGCTTCAGAATGGCGCCCCAAGTTGCCATCCACACTCTCAAGCATAGAGCTCAAAGTCGACTCTTTGCACTTTGGGTCGTTTTCTGAAGGATGCTAAAGGTAGAGCACATGAATAGAATGCGAAGGTCCTGGAGGAGGATGTCTGATGGGCTAATCGGCTAATCATAATCAACATCGTGGACTCGATGTTACCTGAGGCTGTTTGAAGTTTTTGAAGTTGAAAGTCTTACATTATCTTACACTGCTTTCCTCTGCTTGCCTGCTATGCTTCTATACAATTGATATCAATTGATTATATTTGCTGCTCAGACGGACTCAGACCTGCTCAGTTTGCCCTGATAGCCCAAGGAAGAAGCTCTTCAAGGAGCAGGCGAAGACGAAGGCGGCTGTTCGCGATGAGTTTGATCGAGAGGCTCGACAACACGGTCGTGGAAATGCGCCGGATAGTATCTCGGCACATCCTGGCGGCCTTTCATGGCCTTTCGCGGCCTTTCAACATTTTCTTAAAGGGATGCACTCGAGCAGCACCGTTAGTGTTGGACATAGAGACATAGACTGACATAGACCGTACGGTTGTTGTATGTTGTTGTCATATTTTTGACACACACACACACACGCGCGCACATACATATTGCTTCCCATTCTCGAAGTATGTTTAAAAAAGCAGTCCGCGACATTGAGAGTCGAACAGTTGTGAGCTGATGGTGGGTTGAAGAAATTCCACTACAGATGATCATGCCTTTCACCAATGAGAGATCCTCGTAGGAATTCATCCTTACATCCTTATTATTATACCGAAACAGAGTTGATTTTGTAAGCCGGGGACCCCCATGACATGGTTTGGGGAACCAACCTCATTCTCTGGATCAAGTTGGTGTCTCGATTTTATACGCCTGACTTTTTGAGTCTTTTTGAATACCCCCAAAAATTTCCACTCCAAAATCAGGACCCCCGGGGGTCCGCCAAAACCCTTTTTTTGGACAGCCTAAGTGCCTGCAAAGATATGCTCAATGCAGGTTCCTGATTTTGTAGTGGGGACCTTTTGTAATTGGCTGAAGCTGTAGGTTCCTGATTTTGTAGAGGTTTTGTGGGTTTGTCAATATTCAAATACACATTATGTTGATTTTGCAGGTTTCCCATTTTGTAGAGAAAAATGGTGGAACATGTGTTTTCGACTTGCTTGCTCAACGCCCGCTCCTGTCGCAGTTCGTGCAGCCATGAAGATGATGGCATTACAGCACACCAAAATTGTACCGAATTTTCACACATTCCATCAAGCAAATGAAACGGAATAATACTGAATAATAAATATAACAAATCTATACAAATCTGAATAAAGTTGAATAAATATGAATAAATATCCTCCGTATTTTTTTTAAATATTGTTTTCCTATACATGCAGGGCTGGGGCCCTCTCTATTTTCGAATTCGCAGCTACAGCCATGGGAAAGAGGGGCAAAGATGTTTCGGATTGGCCGGATGGCTACCCGGTTCGATGCGTTTCTTGTCTTTGGCTTTAGAATGTGTCAGAACGTTTTGGATGGTTTTAGAATGCTTTAGAATGTTGTAGAAAGTTTTTCAAAGTTTTAGAACGTCTTAGATTGGTTCCGGATTTGGCTGGCTATTTTATTCCACATACTTTTCCATCCTTGTCCGACCGGCTGTTTTCAGGGATGCGCAACTTGCACATGCAAAACGGAACCTCCGGCATGGGAGCCACTTCGAGGTGCTTTCGGTCGCTCGTCACAATGGTGGGTTCAGGAATGCGTTCCCCCACTTTTTATTTCAGGATTCACGAATTACAATCATAGAATTTTAATGAATTTTAATGAATTTTAATGAATTTCAGAGTCGTGCAACCAGAACATGTTTTTTGATGTCTTTGTTTTTTTTTGGTTTGGGGTTGTTTCGGTTTGTTTGGAACTGTTGTAGGTTGTTTCGGAATGTTTAGAACTGTCTTGTGATGTCTTGTGTATGATTTTTCTGGCCGATGAACGATGATGAACGATGATGAATGTTTGTGGATGTTTGTGGAACATTTTGAAACATTCTGAATCAATCTGAATCATCTTGATTCATTCTTGTTTTTGTTCATTTGTTTTCGATTTTGACCGCGCTCCTTCCGACCAAGTTGGCCGTTGTAAATTTCGGAATCACACTGGCCGAACTTCCCACCATCGAGTCTTTTGGCGGCCGTGTCTTGCCAACAAGAGGGGGGTTTTATGGTTTTAAATCGTTCTTATCATTTCTTATCTGTTTAATTCTGTTTATATGTTTGTTTTTTCATATTTTCAATTTTTGTTCATATGTTTTTTATTATTGTTTTTTGAGATGTGCAGTTTTTTCCATGTTTTTTTTCACTTGTTTCATGTTTTCCAAGCATTGGTATATTGGCCTCCTCTACAAAATGGGAAACGCATCCCAATCTGCATGGAAGCTCCTACATTTTGGGATCCTGTCACAACTTCATGGAGGCGATGTGCATGCACAACCTCTACAAAATCAGAATCACATCCCAACCAGAAATAAGGTATCTACACAATTCTACATGCTAGCCATGTCTCTGATTTTGTAGAGTCCAAGCTTGCCCAGGGAGGAACGCAGATGGATTTGGACTGGTTGTATATCCGACGATTGCCCTCAAAAGGACGAAGCAGTTTCTTGGCTGACAGCGCTTGTGGCCAGAAAAGCGGTGTGGAAATGGCTGACTTGTTTTCCATTGTTTTCCAAATTTAAAAAACATAACCAAAACATACAAAAACAATAAAAAACAACACTAAGAAAACATATATAAACATATGAACATATACAGACATGATGAACTTCAACAGTTTCTGTATGATCCAGTTTGTTTCTCCACTCTGGTGCGACCCTTGTGGCTAAACACGCAGCATTTATTTTGATCAGAGTCGGCTGGGAGCTTTCCAGGGGATTCCAGGGGCACTGGCTAGTTCCAAATAAGTGGCCCCCTTTTCAGAATGTTCCGGGCCATGTTGTGGACAATTTGTGCGCTGTGTGCGTTGCGTGCCACATCAGCAGCTGCACCGGATGATACCTCTTGCTCAGTGCCAGAACTTCAGTGTCTCGGCAACAGCGGCCTTTCTTGGTGAATTGGGATTGCTATGGAGTAGATGATGGGTTATCTTAGTTATCTTTGATCTCTACAGAATGGGATTCTTGTGGGGTCGGCAGAGATTGTCTCTACAAAATCAGGTACCTTCATGACATGGATGTTGATATATTTTGATGGTAGTTTGCCATATGGTTTGGGGTTTGTAGGTTTCCCATTTTGTAGACAAGTGTTGGGCTGAAACATCAAGATTGCCATTTTGTAGTGGGATGAGTTTTTTAAAGCAGCACTTTCATTCAATGAGCTGATACAGTTTGATACAATTCAAATCAATTCAAATCAATTCAAATCAACTGTATTAAAATGTCATTTCCTTGTGTTCTTGGCTCAAGATTTCTGTGGTCCTTGTTTCTCTTTCTCACATTTTCTCACTGAGTGGAATCGCTTGTGTAGCTGTTTGCACCTTCGTGGCAATGGATGCTCGGGGCGCCCTTCCAAAGGCCAAAGCCAAAGCAAAGGCCAAGGCCAAAGCACGTACTCTTCGGCCTAGGATCGGCCGCTACTCCATTGAGACTGACTTCCCCTTCGTTGAGAAGAACCCACATCCAGATTTCCAAGAGGCTTGGGAAATAGCCAAGCTTGAAGCTTGCTTAGCCAAGAATGACAAACAGCGTTGGTACCATGTGAAGTCAGTGATGTCCATGCTCGGGTGGAAAGTCTATCAGCACAAAGAGCCTTTGATGTGTGAGTGGGTGAGGACAAAGCATACCAGATACATGCGTGCGTTGAAGCCCTTACCACAGAAGAGAGAGAGGGTTCGGCTCGACTATGCTGCCGGCGCAAGTGACCCAGTCGTCATCTCCCCGACTGTCTGAAAGTGCAGTAGGCGGTGACTTTGTGGTAAGTTTCTTGTTTTAATTTCTTAGGGACCGCCTAGTGATTCTCTAGAATTGCCTGTGGCTTTGGATGGTTGGCCCAGCTTATTGATCTAGAGGTTGCCTGGCATCGAAGTTTGTTAGTAATCCTTAGGGCAGGTATAGCTTGGCCTGCAATGAGCGAAGCTACTTGGGGCCAGCCCATATGAATGAGGGGTTCAGTTGCTGGCAATCAAGCTTCCTCGAACTTACGCTCTGTGGAAATGCTCTGTGGGAAAAAGTGGGAGGAGCTGGGAGGAGCTGATCTAGGGATGTTGATCAAAGTTACCTTTTTGTTCCTTCTTATTGAATCTTATTGATTTTTATTGTGTTTTGAATTGTTTTGATGTGTTTTGACTAATTTTGAATGTACTTCCATGGCGCCCCCCACTTTGCCCAGGTGGTTTCATGCCTATAATCACATGGATGAATTGCTGGCTTACGCACGATCATGGTGCGGTGAACGTTCAATCTACGCTTTGGACGCATTTGGCTACTCGGGCACCATTGCGCTACTTGGTGGTTGTTCCGATGTGGGGCAGGGTGAACAGGTGGAAACAAGACAAAGGAAGCCAAAAAAATGATGAGTTGTTGTTTAGTACACCTGCGGGTTGTCCCGCCAGTTCAAACCCAAGGGATGGAATGTGGAATCCCTGGATTTTTTAAATGAAATGTAACCACTGCTGTTGCCTCGCAAAGCTGAGGCGGCAGTGGAAAAAGAACGGGTACGAGAGCTTGAAATTTGACATATTGCTGGATTCACGCCATGATGTGGTGTCCCGCGGCGGTTTCTACTGGCTACTGGATATGTCGCTGGCGTGGCTTGATTGTGCAGGGAACGGGGGATCTTTGAAATTTAGCGTTAGCAATTCCGAGATATTCAGAGTAAACATATAGGAAACAAATATATACAAATATAAACAATTATAATCAAATATATATAAATATGATTAAATTTATTAAATATGATAAAAGATGTAAAAATAATTAAAATGTCATTAATTTGAAATAGTATCAAAGATGTAATTAACTTGAACCATCTTTAACCAAAGCGAGTTGCAACCCATATGTTTAATTATGTTTAAGTCTGCCCAAAATCAGATCCAGCCCAGGATCGTGGAAGGCGGTGTTTTAGTAGCAGGTCCTCCGTGCAGCTTGATGGTATCAGCATGCCAGAGTGTCCATCGCCGCCGCCCTTGGCGGCTGGAAGGCGACACTGGAAATTGGAAAATACGTCTCAGCAACTTGATATGGGACAATTTCGTGCCTTTGACGAATGACACCGGCGTTGTGGTCAGGGTTGTTTGGCTCAGGGATGTTCAGGGTTTGATCTTTTTTGAGTTTGACTGATGTCTTGGATGCTGAATGGTTTAGCTGATTGATTCACTGTAAAGGATTGTAAAGGGATGTAAAGGGATTCATCAAGTTTCACTAAATTTCAATAAATTTCATGAAATTTCGCAAGAAGTTACCAGCTTCAGTCAGTTTGAACCGCTTGCTTGTGGCACTGCACCCTAGGCAACCCTGTTGCTGTTGTTGACCTGCCTGGGGCGGCGCATCTTCTACAAAGTGGAGCAGCCGCTTTCATCATGGGCATATTCGCAGGTGCGCATGGTGCAGGCAAAAGTGAAAGCCCAAATGAATCTTGACATTATGCTGCCCTATTCATCCCTATTTTATCATAGTTCAACAATGCTTAATATATATTTAATATATTTTAATATATTTTATCCTATTCTATGATTTTGTAGTCCTCCCAGTAGAGATGAAGGGGTCCCACCACACCACCTTTTTTTTTATTATTATTTTTTTTTATCAGTCTACAAAATGGGGAACATGGGCAAAGTGGTTTTGTTTTGTTTACAAAATCCAGTGTCAGCCCACTGCTGTCCAGCTGGTCCTTGAATTTTGAGGCATGTTTGGTTTTGAGGGACAAAGAATATATATGGAAAACCATTGAAAACCATGGAAAACATGAAAAAAAACATGGAATCTAGCTAGGTATGTCCTGGTACCAATCCATTTTCAAAGGGTTTCATGACTTCCATCTCAGAAAGGGTCTATGACTTTGTCCTCCCAGTGGCCTACCACCCCATGTTCCCCATTTTGTAGAGATGAAGGGGCCCCACCACACCACCTTTTTTTTTTGATTTTTTTTTTCAGTCTACAAAATGGGGAACATGGGCAAAGTGGTTTTGTTCTGTTTACGAAATCCAGGGTCAACCCACTGCTGTCCAGCTGGTCCTTGAATTTTGAGGCATGGTTGGTTTTGAGGGACAAAGAATATATATGGAAAACCATTGAAAACCATGGAAAACATGAAAACAAAAAAACATGGAATCTAGCTAGATATGTCCTGATTCCAATCCATTTTCAAAGGGTTTTCATGACTTCCATCTCAGAAAGGGTCTATGGCTTTGTCCTCCCAGTTGCCCCCCATGTTCCCCATTTTGTAGAGATGAAGGGGCCCCACCACACCACCTTTTTTTTTGTTTTTTTTTTTCAGTCTACAAAATGGGGAACATGGACAAAGTGATTTTGTTCTGTTTACAAAATCCAGTGTCAACCCACTGCTGTCCAGCTGGTCCTTGAATTTTGGGGCATGGTTGGTTTTGAGGGAACAAGAATATATGGGAAAACATGAAAAAACCATGGAATCTAGCTAGATATGTCCTGGTTCCAATCCATTTTCAAAGGGTTTCATGACTTCCATCTCAGAAAGGGTCTATGACTTTGTCCTCCCAGTTGCCCCCCATGTTCCCCATTTTGTAGAGATGAAGGGGCCCCACCACACCACCTTTTTTTTATTTTTTATTTTTTTTTATCAGTCTACAAAATGGGGAACATGGGCAAAGTGGTTTTGTTCTGTTTACAAAATCCAGTGTCAACCCACTGCTGTCCAGCTGGTCCTTGAATGATTGGTTTTGAGAACCTGATGTAGCTAGATATATCCTAGGATTTGTGCTCCTTCAATTCATTTTTTAAAGGCTTCACATGACTTCCCAGCTTACAAAAGGTATACAAAGGGTCTATGGTTTTGTAGTCCTCCAATTGGCCTATCTTCCAAGTTCCTGATTTTGTAGTGTTGAGGGGCTTCAGCAGATTGCCAATTAAGGAGCATCACTTTGACCTATATGGCATATTTCAACCACGATTTGGTCAAGCCGACCTATTTGTTATCCAACCTTGGGACAGCTGGGATGGATGGGCACCAGTTTTTGCAAGCGCATTCAAACCAAGTCGATGGGTGGGTCACGTGTGTTTTTTACATACACATACGTACACACATATGATCACACATGAGCAATTGATGTATTTGAATCTATGTAAATGTATATTTAAAGATACAGGGAACCCTTCGGAGTCCAGTCCGACTACTTATATCTTGTAATTAGTTAAAGCTGTCACCTGCCTGTTTGCAGGACAATTCAGAGCTTGCAACGGAAGTTGGTCAAGAAGGACCGCCTCAGATTTGCGGAGCTTTGGCCAGAGCAAGTATGTTGCTTACAGACCTGGGTTACAAATTTATACAGTTTTTAGTACTTTTTATCTAATTTGTATCAACTTGCTCAGAGAAGTAAAGAACAGTTGCATCCTATAAATGAATTTGATTATATTCAGGATACATAAGGATCTTGGAAGGGCTTGCTGATTTTGTAACCCCTTACTGATCCTTAATGTAATAAACTATCCCCTATGTTCCTGATTTTGTAGTACCACCAATGGGCCTATTCCCCAAGTTTCTCATTTTGTAGTGATCAGAGGGCCCCCCAATACACCACATCTCATGTTAGTAGCCAGCACTACTATGCACTACTCATGATTTTGTGATGCTATTATTTATCGTTATTTTTTTTGATTATATTTTTTAGAAGTTCATCACATGTACGTGGTCTTATCATATCTTATGTCTGCGTGTCGGGCCCAGGAAAGGTTGAAAAGAAGAAACAGCAAACGGGCAACTGCCCGTGTGTACCACAGCCGCATCTCTCGGCCTGATGGCTCAACAGGATGGCAAGGACAGAAGGATTTACACTTGTCTGCCCGGTATACGAGGGAGTTCGGAGCAGCTCTCTTTAAAGCATGGAGCTCCCAACTGAATTCCAGCAACGCTAAAGGGCGTTGAGTCTTTGAGAGGGCTCTGCTTTCCATGGGAGCCCGCCAGTATTTCCGTCATCTTGACATGTTTCCGTTTGAGGTGTTAACGGAAGCATTAGGTTGCAATGCAGCCGTGTCAATCCGTACAGTATAGCAACTGTGACAAGCATAGTGTTGCAGCGCTAGAGAGCTGACAGCTGGCAAAGCTGTTTGGGTGTCAAAATCATTGCTGTTAGTAAATTTTATTGAAGTTTTTAAGGATTACATAGCGATATGATGCAGTACATAGAGGTACGAAACTATATATATACTGTATATATATATATTTCATGGGAATATATGGGAACTAGATGAAACTAGAATGAACTATATAGATGGAAGTAGGTTGATTTAGTATGAGTTGGTATGAATTATACAGTATGAAGTTACAATAAAGCTATATAATACAGTCTAATTGTGGTTCATATAGGCAAGCTGTATAGAAACTTGCAATGTTTTCTAGGAACTAGGGCCACTTAATCTCCAGTTGGTGAGACTTCGGTGTCCTTTAAGGTTCCACTTCCTGCACGTGACGAGACATGGAAGGTGGCAAGACAAGTTGCATCATCAGCGGCCACGCCGCAAGAACCAGGCACAACAGAAGCAGAGAGGGAAGATCCACAGCCACCCCCATCCTCGCTAGAGACACCGCAGGCAGCAGAGATTAAACAACAGCAGCAACTTCTGCAGGAAGCAGTGCCACATGCTGATGCTGGGCCCACACCTGCACCAGAACAGCTGCTGGAATCAACAGGGATCAAACCACACGATCCACACACCGCAGAGACCTCAGCACAGGAAGCAGAGCAAAAGACAGACACGGCACCAACACAGCAACCAGATGCAGAGCATACACCAGCAGATCCACACACGGCAGAGACCTCAGCACAGGAAGCAGAGCAAAAGACAGACACGGCACCAACACAGCAAACAGATGCAGAGCATACACCAGCAGATCCACACACGGCAGAGACCTCAGCACAGGAAGCAGAGCAAAAGACAGACACGGCACCAACACAGCAAACAGATGCAGAGCATACACCAGCAGATCCAGAACGGCCGCCATCAACAGGGATCAAACCAGAGGTCCCACACACTGCAGAGACCTCAGCACAGGAAGCAGAGCAAAAGACAGACACGGCACCAACACAGCAACCAGATGCAGAGCATACACCAGCAGATCCAGAACGGCCGCCATCAACAGGGATCAAACCAGAGGTCCCACACACTGCAGAGACGCCAGCACAGGAAGCAGAGCAAAAGACAGACACAGCACAAACACAGCAACCAGATGCAGAGCATACACCAGCAGATCCAGAACGGCCGCCATCAACAGGGATCAAACCAGAGGTCCCACACACTGCAGAGACGCCAGCAATGAAGCAAGAAGCACAGGGAGCAGAGCAACAGACAGACACGGCACAAGCACAGCAACAAGATGAAGAGGAACTATTTGGCGCCCAGACGCCACCAGCATCTTTATGGGAGCCAGGGGAGCCTCCCTTGCCACCGCCTTTTGAAAGACCTCCAGCTTTCTTTACCAAAAGGGAGCCATTATCACCGGGGTCAGAGAAGGGCACGCCGCCCAAGTGCCGAGACTCCAAAGATGTTGATTCTTTCAGCACACCTCCGAAGCATGCAAAAGCAGAGACATCTCATCGACCTGGCTCTGGAAGGAAAGTGAAGACAGAAGGAAATATGAAGCGAGACTTGTCTGAGAGTGAATGGGTGAAAGTGTTGGGAGATGTTGGGAGAAAGAAGCTTGGTTAATCGGTGGAGTCAGTATGATTTTATTTTGTAATCCCTTCAAGGGATCAATATCCCACCCATGTTCCTGATTTTGGAGAGATGATGTGGGGGGCCCACATGCCCCTATTTTTTTTTTGTCATTTTTCATGGGTCTACAAAATGGGGAACATGGGCAAAAAGACCCATATGGGTTTACAAAATTGAGGGTCATCCCACATTTGTCCAGCTGTCCCATAGTGGTTGGGACCAGCTTGATTCTCAGGGGCCAGGGGGCCCAATGTAGCTAGACATCCCTGGAACTTAGCGCTACCCCAGGGTACCCCAGACCATTTTTTGAAGGGGGTTCTCATGCTTTCCACCTAACAGGGGGTTGATGATTTTGTAGTGCCTCCAAGTGGCCTAATCCCCAAGTTCACCATTTTGGAGAGATGATGAGGGCCCCCCCAACACACCAATCCAATCCAATCCATATTAATAGTACTGTTCAATAGCCAGCACTGTTGTTTTATTTCATCTTTTTGGTTTCTACAAGAATCAGGGATAAGGGCCAGCAGTGATGTAAAATGCAGGGTTATCCATCCAACTTTGGGGTTTGTATTGGTTTGATTTCTTGTTGGTTGTAGAAGCCTCAAGAATGCCATGGGAGCAACAAGCATATATATATATATAGTTATTATATATATATAAACACATAATCTTGGACGCATATAAACAATTATAATCATATGAATATAAATGCATCTCAGCCAAGCTGAGCAGCAGACTACTCCAATTGTGTTGCCAGGACCGACGCCTGACTACCATCAAAGGAACACCAAGCTGAAAGTTGAACCTGGTTTGAGAAGCGTGCCTGCATTTTATTGGGTCTTGAAGGCTTGCTCATACTGGCCTAGCCCCCAAGTTCCCCATTTTGGAGAGATGATGTGGGGGGCCCACATGGCCCTATTTTTTTTTGTCATTTTTCATGGGTCTACAAAATGGGGAACATGGTCAAAAAGGCCCATATGGGTTTACAAAATTGAGGGTCATCCCACATTTGTCCAGCTGTCCCATAGTGGTTGGGACCAGCTTGATTCTCAGGGGCCAGGGGGCCCAATGTAGCTAGACATCCCTGGAACTTAGCGCTACCCCAGGGTACCCCAGACCATTTTTTGAAGGGGGTTCTCATGCTTTCCACCTAACAGGGGGTTGATGATTTTGTAGTGCCCCCAAGTGGCCTAACCCCCAAGTTCCCCATTTTGGAGAGATGATGTGGGGGGCCCACATGGCCCTATTTTTTTTTGGTCATTTTTCATGGGTCTACAAAATGGGGAACATGGGCAAAAAGGACCATATGGGTTTACAAAATCGAGGGTCATCCCACATTTGTCCAGCTGTCCCATAGTGGTTGGGACCAGCTTGATTCTCAGGGGCCAGGGGGCCCAATGTAGCTAGACATCCCTGGAACTTAGCGCTACCCCAGATTATATATATATATTTTATTTATTTATATAACCATAGTTGGATACATGCACATACATACACATACATACAGATACACACACATACACATGGACCAATACACATATACACCAATACAAATTATATATAATTATTTATACATATACATAGACATATATATACATAAATGCCACTCTCAGCAGCAGACTGCCCCAATGTGTTGCCAGGACAGGAGCTTCACCAGTCTGCTGGGACGGCGCCGGGCATCAAGAACGAGGTCAAAACTGAACCTGGTTTGAGAAACGTGCCTGCATTTTATTGGGTCTTGAAGGCTTGCTCATACTGGCCTAGCCCCCAAGTTCCCCATTTTGGAGAGATGATGTGGGGGGCCCACATGGCCCTATTTTTTTTTGTCATTTTTTCATAAGTCTACAAAATGGGGAACATGGTCAAAAAGGCCCATATGGGTTTACAAAATTGAGGGTCATCCCACATTTGTCCAGCTTTCCCATAGTGGTTGGGACCAGCTTGATTCTCAGGGGCCACGGGGGGCCCAATGTAGCTAGACATCCCTGGAACTTAGCGCTACCCCAGGGTACCCCAGACCATTTTTTGAAGGGGGTTCTCATGCTTTCCACCTAACAGGGGGTTGATGATTTTGTAGTGCCCCCAAGTGGCCTAACCCCCAAGTTCCCCATTTTGGAGAGATGATGTGGGGGGCCCACATGGCCCTATTTTTTTTTGGTCATTTTTCATGGGTCTACAAAATGGGGAACATGGGCAAAAAGGACCATATGGGTTTACAAAATCGAGGGTCATCCCACATTTGTCCAGCTGTCCCATAGTGGTTGGGACCAGCTTGATTCTCAGGGGCCAGGGGGCCCAATGTAGCTAGACATCCCTGGAACTTAGCGCTACCCCAGGGTACCACAGACCATTTTTTGAAGGGGGTTCTCATGCTTTCCACCTAATAGGGGGGTTGATGATTTTGTAGTGCCTCCAAGTGGCCTAACCCCCAAGTTCCCCATTTTGGAGAGATGATGTGGGGGGGCCACATGGCCCTATTTTTTTTTTGTCATTTTTCATGGGTCTACAAAATGGGGAACATGGGCAAAAAGGCCCATATGGGTTTACAAAATCGAGGGTCATCCCACATTTGTCCAGCTGTCCCATAGTTGTTGGGACCAGCTTGATTCTCAGGGGCCAGGGGGTCCAATGTAGCTAGACATCCCTGGAAATTAGCGCTACCCCAGACCATTTTTTGAAGGAAGTTCTCATGCTTTCCACCTAACAGGGGGTTGATGATTTTGTAGTGCCTCCAAGTGGCCTAACCCCCAAGTTCCCCATTTTGGAGAGATGATGAGGGCCCCCCCAACACACCAATCCAATCCCTCAGTATTTCTTGCATCCCTTGTGCTGCCAGGATGCGGTGCTTCACCATCACAAAAAATTGCTTACTACGCCACGATGGTGGGCACAAAGGGAACTTGGCTCGATGTGCTCGATGCAGGGCTAGCAGGTGACCGTTTAGAGAAAGACATTTTCTTCCTTGTGACGAAGAAGGAAGAAGGTTTGGATCTGTTTAGCATCAAAACGTACATGAAGAATCACATTCCAGACTTGGAGATAGAAGGGCATGATGCCCCTCCCAACAGAGCATCTAAAGACACATGGGTGTTCTTGAGCTGCAATGCATCCTATCAGCATGGAAAAAATGATCCAAGAAACCATTGGATGCCATGTGTTTTTCGAGAACAAGTGGAACCAAGTCTATTTGAGGAGTTGACAACAGAGAGCAGAATCAGAATTATGAGGGAGGTTACTGTTGTTCAGAAGCAGATGTCCGAGAATGTGATTAATGATGGCGAACCTGCGATCACAGCAAGCTTGGAGATGCAACGAGATGAGTTCCTAGTTTGGATTTGGAATTTAAGATTTATGTACATATATCTATATCTCAAATTTATACTTATGTGCCTATATAGCTTTATATAGTATATATAATATAATATATCTGGTTTATCCACGCCTAGGGTAGGTTGGTTTCAAATGGTTTCAGTAGCCTCGCGGCCTGCATGCGACTTCCAAGGTTGATGGGACAGGTGCGTCTCATTGACCAGTGCTTGACGCATGGTGTGGCCTTCATCCCTGTCCCCGCGGACGGAGACTGTCTTGCATGGTCGCTGAGGTATTTCATGCAAGACAGGGTTGAGTCTGCACGTAGTGATTTTACTTCAAAAGCAGCTAGATATGCATCTCAGACTACACGGTCATGCTTGAAGGGAATGTGGGAAGAGGTCAAGGACGTTGGAAATTGGCAACATTTCTTTCTTGCAATGTATTCTGATGTGGCACTCGGCCCCACTACTCCCAAAAAATCGAAAAAGAAAGCGGAAGAACCGGTTTGCATTGATTTGCGGACGCCCCCAGAGAAGCCGAAGGGAAAGGTTACCAAGCGTGTGGATGAAACCAAGGCGGTTCCTTTTGCAGAGAAGCCACCGAGCTCCCCAACATTGAAGGTTCCAGGGCAAAAGAACATGGAGAATCTTATGGATCCTGGAGTCCCGGATCTTGATGCTTATGTTGAGGTTCAAAAGCAAAAGGTTCCTGAGGATTCTGGGTCGAAGGTTCCACCAGCCAGCTTTTCCGAAGGTTCAAAAGGAGATGCAAATGTGCAAAGTGACTTGCAAGGGGAAATGGATGAGGGTAGTGATGATGGAGGAATCGAGCAATTTGGGAAGAATCGTAAAACCAGGCGCACACGGGAATGCAAGAAAAGGACAAAGACAAAGGCACTCTTAGAGCTACAGGCCTTGAAGGGTTGCTTGGCTAGGTATGGCATGACCTATGCCACTTTCCAAACCTTCCACATCAGAATGGCCACAGTGAAAAAGGCTGCAACCTGTGAGATTGAAGGATGGCAACCCTTCTGTAGGAGTTTACAAGCCAAAAAGGAGCCTCTTTGCAAAATTTGTGTTGAGTTCCTTCGTCTTCACAAGGTGGAGATGGAGGAAATTGAACGTGTTCTTGCAGGGGTGGGCCTTGAAGTGGCTGTACCACCTCCTCCCATGCCTCCGCCCACAGAGGAAGCAGAACAACCAGAAGACTCTGGATATGAAGTTTGCACAAAATATGTGAGAGAAAGGGACCCAGACATTGAGCTAATCATTCAGGGCGCCCCAGGTGACCAAGCAATCCTGAGGTATCGTTGCAGGGTTTGCCGCACCAAGGGCCAACCAAAGGGGAAGGTAAACCTTCTTGGCAAACCAGTCATGAAAAGAATTAAGTACCTCTTGGACCGCCACCTTGAAAGTGATTTTCACGTTGGCAGAAAAGTTCTACAGCAAGGTGGCAACCCACAGCCAGATGGTGATGTGTTTGGTCAAGAGGTCATTGAAGTAGATTGTGAAGGTTTTTCGTCTTTTGATGAGCAGGATTTTCATGATCTATTTTGTATTGTTTTGTTCCATGTTGACCATTTCCCACTTGGTCTGGTTTACCTGATTCCTCCAACCCCTTCTCAGCCGAGGCTATTGCGTCTCTGATCCACTGTCCGGAGGCACTCTTTGTCATTGGGCAGAGGAGTTTGACATTTGGGCGACCCATAGCCCAATGCAGCAGACAGCTCAGCACACCTACTGGAAGAATTGCACAGATGGGAAATGGTTTGTTAGATCCAAAAGTTGCCAGAAGAAAATGCCCCAGCCAACAGATGGTGCACCTCCAGCCTGTAGTGAGTGTGTGAAACTTGCAGAACCCAAAAAGGTGCAAAGGGTAGTCCAAAGATTTTCCGCCAAATACAATGCAGCTCGTTTACTTCAGAAGCGGCTTTTCGGGACCCCAGATGAAGTTCAGGAGTTGCTTACTGAGATCAAGAAGAGCACATTTGGGATAAGATGCGGGCAATACTGGAAGAAGTTGGTTGCTTTGACCAACCAATCCTTGCAAACCTTTGTCCGTGCTACACTTGGAAGCACACCCCCAGCCTTGCAAAACACTGCCATGCGTCACCTTCTGTCAAATGTGGTTGCACCGTGCATGAAGGTGAATGTGGCGGCTGTCCACGGCAATCTCCACCGATTGACTGCTCAGTTTGTCACAGCCCTTGCAAATCAGCAGATGACAGAAGCTTGGATATGAATTTAGCGGGATCTTGGTGCCTGCATTGATTATAATTATGGATAATTATGGTATATTATTGTTAATTATAATTAATTATAAATGATATTAAATGATTTCCAAGGCACGCAACAGATTCATGTTTAAAAGATACTTTGAAATTGCCAATCAAACTGCAGCTTTTCTCCTTGTTTATGGCTCTACAAAATCAGGGACCTGGGTCACCAGTGATTTTTCAGGTCTACAAAATCCAGGGTCATCCCATAACTGTGGACTGCCCCATTAGGGTTGGGACCAGCTTGGTTCTGGGTCGCCAGCGCCCGATCTAGGTAGATATCATTAGATATCTGTGGGGGGTAGCACCACTCCAGTCCACATTTTCAAAGATGTTTTTCCAGGGGGTGTAGGGTTGCTGATTTTGTAGTGCCCCCCAATGGGCCTATTCCCCAAGTTCCTGATTTTGTAGTGATCAGGGGGCCCCCCGACACACCAATCCAATCCAATTCATATCATTTTATATTATATAATAGTTTCCAGTGGCCAGCATTGTTGTTTTCTTACTGTATCTTCATTTTTCTGCCCCTACAAAATCAGGGACCTGGGTCACCAGTGATTTTTCAGGTCTACAAAATCAAGGGTCATCCCATAACTGTAGACTACCCCATTAGGGTTGGGACCAGCTTGGTTCTGGGTGGCCAGGGCCCGATCTAGGTAGATATCATTAGATATCTGTGGGGGGTAGCACCACTCCAGACCACATTTTCCAAGATGTTTTTCCAGGGGGTGTAGGGTTGCTGATTTTGTAGTGCCCCCCAATGGACCTATTCCCCAAGTTCCTGATTTTGTAGTGATCAGGGGGCCCCCCGACACACCAATCCAATCCAATTCATATAATTTTATATTATATAATAGTTTCCAGTGGCCAGCATTGTTGTTTTCTTACTGTATCTTCATTTTTCTGCCCCTACAAAATCAGGGACCTGGGTCACCAGTGATTTTTCAGGTCTACAAAATCAAGGGTCATCCCATAACTGTAGACTACCCCATTAGGGTTGGGACCAGCTTGGTTCTGGGTCGCCAGCGCCCGATCTAGGTAGATATCATTAGATATCTGTGGGGGGTAGCACCACTCCAGACCACATTTTCCAAGATGTTTTTCCAGGGGGTGTAGGGTTGCTGATTTTGTAGTGCCCCCCAATGGGCCTATTCCCCAAGTTCCTGATTTTGTATTGATCAGGGAGCGCACCCCACACCACAATAACCCTGATCTAGTTTGCTCATCCTTGATATGGGCTAATCTGGTTTGATTTGTGTAGTCCCCTTAATATGCCTATAGCATCCTATAGCCATCTATAGCCTCTATGTTCCTGATTTTGTAAAGCTGACTGAAGGGCCCCTTCACCACACCAGTAGCCAGCTTAGGAAGTCGAAGAAGTCAATGTCCGCATAGCGGCTGCGGCTGTAGGGGGCAAACTTGACAGCAACCCCTTCATACAGGGACTTTTGTTGCAAAGTCTTCGGAAGCTTGGGAAAGATGATCGAGGGGTGGGGCCCCAGGGGCCCAAACCAAGTTGCTCGGAGACAGAGAGGCGCTTGGTGGAGACGGCGGCTTTCCAATTTGCCCTGCTTTCATCGAACAAAGAGTTGGCGGCTGAGCTGGGGCAGAATTTGCATCCAGCAAAGCTGGTGCTTGACCAGCTTCCAGAGTTAGGACTTCCTCATCCGGCTCTATCTCTTCGTACTTCCTTGGATGAGGTGCTGGAGAAAAACCTTGAGATCATCGATCAGAAATTTGCCAGATCCCCGCAGCAGACGCCACGAAGATTGATGCTGGCGATGGACCACACCTACTTGGAACGTAGCCTTGGTCAGACCACTTTGCATGGAGTTCGAGGTTTAGTTGGGGCTCCCTGGCATCCTGCCAGTGACGGGCAAGAGTTGATGGCTTTCGCAGACCTCCCGAAGGATGCTGCTTTGGCCCAACGGGCTCCACTCATGCTGGAATGTTTGATTTGGGATCCAGCCGCGTTGCATCAACAAGTCTTCAGCGCTGCATCCATGCCAATGTCTTTGACCCCTGAGCATGAGGTGAATTCTGACCGGAACCATGGAAAGATTGCTTCTGGGATTGGATGAACTATGATGGGTCAAAAGTTCATATATATATATTCTATATATTTAATTATATATATGGCAAATATCTGTATGTTTTCTTACTGTATCTTCATTTTTCTGCCCCTACAAAATCAGGGACCTGGGTCACCAGTGATTTTTCAGGTCTACAAAATCAAGGGTCATCCCATAACTGTAGACTACCCCATTAGGGTTGGGACCAGCTTGGTTCTGGGTCGCCAGCGCCCGATCTAGGTAGATATCATTAGATATCTGTGGGGGGTAGCACCACTCCAGACCACATTTTCCAAGATGTTTTTCCAGGGGGTGTAGGGTTGCTGATTTTGTAGTGCCCCCCAATGGACCTATTCCCCAAGTTCCTGATTTTGTAGTGATCAGGGGGCCCCCCAACACACCAATCCAATCCAATTCATATCATTTTATATTATATAATAGTTTCCAGTGGCCAGCATTGTTGTTTTCTTACTGTATCTTCATTTTTCTGCCCCTACAAAATCAGGGACCTGGGTCACCAGTGATTTTTCAGGTCTACAAAATCAAGGGTCATCCCATAACTGTAGACTACCCCATTAGGGTTGGGACCAGCTTGGTTCTGGGTGGCCAGGGCCCGATCTAGGTAGATATCATTAGATATCTGTGGGGGGTAGCACCACTCCAGACCACATTTTCCAAGATGTTTTTCCAGGGGGTGTAGGGTTGCTGATTTTGTAGTGCCCCCCAATGGACCTATTCCCCAAGTTCCTGATTTTGTAGTGATCAGGGGGCCCCCCAACACACCAATCCAATCCAATTCATATCATTTTATATTATATAATAGTTTCCAGTGGCCAGCATTGTTGTTTTCTTACTGTATCTTCATTTTTCTGCCCCTACAAAATCCAGAACTTATGTTATTATCACTGGTGATATGGCAATGTTCTATTTGAACCTTTGCGTTTGAGGAAATGCTGCATGTGGTGGGTCGTTTGATGAAGAGAGCTTCATGGATAGTGAGGGGCATCGTGATGGACGCGCATCAGTCCAACTCGTTTGTTCGGGGCGCAATTTTTGGTGATTTTTCCTCCTTGTCGCCAAAAATTCTGGAGGACATCCCTTGGTTTCAGGATTTGAAGCATGTTGAGCTCCCCAAGCATGCACTTCCACATCTGGATTTGAAGCTGGCATACTATGAAGGTGAACCCGTTTGGCTTCTGCCCGGTGTATGCAGCTCGTTCTTACGAAACGGGGTAGGGGTTGATTCTGTAGCCCCCTTGGGTTTTGAATGGTTTTCAAAGTTTTCACGGTCCAATTTTGACTAACTTCATATTTGATGTCCTACAGAATCAGGAACAGAGTCAAAACGGGTTATAGGGAGCCCTGTGGTTTCATGAGGTCACGCCGCCAAAAATGTGGGCGGACAGATTTGCTCACCCTTGCGGTCCCTGACATTTGGGCGGTTTGTTGCCGACACAACGGCTGCGCGGGCTCATGGTTTACCACCAGATGCGTACTGTCGTTCCAGCCCTATGTCGGATTCCTTATGTGCTATATTGTTCAACCCGATGTATTTGATCAAAGACCCAGCGCCTTTGCCCTAACAGACAGGTTATGAGAGGCTTTATATATTTTTTAATGGTTTTAGGATGCTTTAGAATGCTTTAGATGGGCCCAAGCTATCCGCTAGCCCGTTTGAGGCTGTTGCTTTGGGACCGGTAAGCGTGCCGTGGAGCCTGCGTGGCTTTCTGCTCTTGAATCTATGCACAGCGCTTTGCACGGCTACTTGTGCTATGTTTGAGAGCGGGCCCCGAGACATGCTAGTTCCACATATTTCCACTACATTGTTCCCCTGCTCTGTATTCTTATTGGCCTGTTTTGATTGTTTCAATGGTTATCTTGGCACCATGTTTCTGATTTTGTAGACGTAGATTGTGTTTGGGTTGAAAGGTTCCCATTTTGTAGAGCAGGTGGTTGGGATGGTTCACCATTGCACATGTATGCCCATGATTGACATACTTGGAGCCCCCTTGGTCCCTTGGTTTTATCAAACCTGAGGCGCCACTTCTCCACAAGTCAATGCAGTTGATCGACAGGGTCGAGAACTGCCTCACTGGCATTGTCCTTCTCGACCTCTTCCGCATCTTGGCAGAAAAGGAAACGAGCAAGCGGCATTTGCCGAAAGGAGTTCTATGGATGGCCAACCAGACGCATACCAATCTACAGGCCACAGCCAAAGGCCTAGTGCTGGTGGCGCTTTCCAAGAGCCCCGAGGGCAATTTGTTTCGCCACGGCCATGGCCGACTGAGCGAACTTCCGATAGAGGAATGGTTCGGTCGCATCCGCAGCCGATCTTCTACCGCCCAGTTGTCTTGTCGCACTTACTGGAAAAGCGCAGCCAAGGAGATGATCCGTCAGATGCACAACACCAACAGGCGCAAAGGGGAATCAGACAGAGAGAAGATGGAACCTATTGGCCCATCGGAGTTCAGAAAAGCGAGTGAGAGAGCCTTCAAGGCTGCGTGTCAGCTTGCTGCTGTGTGTGGTGGCGTGAGCCAAGATTCATTGGCAGCCATTTATGCCGAAAACAGTACCCCAACCAGTGCATCTGAAGCTCCTCTTCATGCATGGGAAGATGATGATTGGAAGGCCAATGGTGACCCTGATGAAGAGCAAGCTTCGCCAGAGAAAGCCTGTGAACGCGTGCTTCGACAAGTCGCAGAAGAGGCGAAGGAAGCGGCAGAAGATGAGCTGGAGAGTGGTGGTCCTTTTTCTTCAGTTGAAGAGGCTACTTCGAGAATGTTCCGGGTTTGGTTTGGGATGATGATTGTATATGATTGTAAGTCGTAGGTGTTTGGATGTGTTTGGTTGTATCTTCTATCTTCATCAGTCTTCATCTATGTTCAAATTGTTCAATAACTTTATGATACTTTATGTAATTATATAACTTTCATCATCTATGAGTGACTGGAAGTTAGAAGTTAGGCCGTTAGGCCCCATCCTTTTTCAGAACTTGCTCCGGTGAGGAAATTCCAGACCACTTGGAGGCTGATTTGAGAGGCGTGGCGGAGGCTGAAAGTTTGAAAAAGATCATGGAGGCATGCGATCCATCAGAACCATTTGGAACCTCTTCGCCGCCACGTGCAGCCTTTGGAGGAGATCCGGATGATGATGCTGCTGGTGATGCCAGCACACTTTGCTCCGCTTTGAAGTCTTGCGCTGGGGACTTCACAGAGGCCGTGCTATTTGACAAATTGTGGAGATTGCTAATGGCATTGCGACATTGGCATGGAGGGTCCGATCAACACTGGATCAGGAATGCATCTGCCTGCCGCAGGGCTAGTGGTAGTATGAACTGGTTCAAGTGACTTGGCAAATTTATGAGAAACATAAAAAGCGTTAAGAAGAGAATGAAAGACATCAAACAACAATGTTTTGAAAATTTATGAAAATTTATGATTATGTTCGATATTTTGAATTAAATTTATGTAGTCTGTCACCCTTATATCTCTACAAAATGAGGATCCCAATTTGGGTTGCAAACGGCGTTCTACAAAATCAGGAGCAGCCTGATTGAACCCTATGAAAAGACATGAGTTCCATATGTTGGGCTTGGCAAGATTCAACATCGAAATCTCAACAAAATGGGGACATTGAACTTTGTTGTCACCACTGCCCTACAAAATGAAGAACATGTGCTGTTTCTCACATGTTAATATCACTGAACCATGCAAGATCCTGATTTTGTAGAAGTTAGTTTTGGACAATTGACCAGATCCCCATTTTGGAGAGAATTGTGGTTTGATTTTATAGAACCTCTTTGTTCCATTTGTTTGCGCCTGCCTGTTGCCCTGTCAGTTTCAACGAGCACAAGTTGGCCGAACTCGAACGTGAGTCTGGCTGCGCAGAGTACCGCAAGCGAACTGGGAGGATGGAGAAATGGAGACAGCTTGCAATTGATGCGGCCAAAGACAAGAATCTTTCAGACCGGATTCCAGACAAACTCGAGCAACACGGTTCTTCAATGGTTTCTTTTTTTTTAATGGTTTTGTTTCCTGATTTCCGTTCATTTTCCAAACTTCCCTGTGTTGTCATACTTTGGTTTGCACACCCACAAAGTTTAGACGGTTGAGGCTGTGTGTTGAAATTGTTGTAAACAGATTTAAGAGAGTTGATTGTTTCTACATTTGTTTCTACATTTGTTTCCTCGAGGCATGGCAACATCGTGGTCGTGGTTGTGCCCAAACATGCCCGCTCTGCGCAAACCCAGAGACAGGCTGTACTGGCCGTTGTCACTTCCATTTGGAAGAATGCCAAGCGGCCAAAGCTTTCGACTGTGGGCCTCAGCATGACCCACATAGTTGCGGCCAGATGCTTGGAGTTTACACATGTGGAAGGATCTGTCAACAAATGGAAGGTGGACGATAGATCCAAGCCTTGGATTGTGCGACCAGAAGCAGTTGCTGCCGTCTTGGATTGCAAGAGGTACGACAACAGAGTTGAAAACTTGATTGTTGAGATGACGGAAGACTCAGAATGGTACCTTGACGCCATCTGCTCACTACCAGACTGGTGGCCAGTGGAAGAGTTGGACGAGGAAATTGAAAACAACGAGCCTGGCTTGTACCTTCCTCGCCGCCGGGGTCGTCGTGCCAAGGCAAAGGCAAAGGCCTCTGCGAAGGCGAAGGTGAAAGCTGGCGAAGAATCCAAGAAGGGTGTCTCCAAGAAGATTCGCAAGACAAGAATCCAGAAAGCCAAGCCGGTGCCCGCCCAGATTGCTTTGCTGGCGGCGAACCTGAAGAAGAACAGGATTGGGAAGGCGCTCATTGAGCAGACCTTGGTGAAGATGTTGACTTTGGAGGAGAAATATTTCGACACCAAGCCCTGCTTCAATGCCGACAGAGAATGCATGATCCCAGGTGAGCACGTCCGCGGGGTCAAATGGGAGGAAGTGCTTGGCGGGGCGTTTGACTACTTCCACACAGAGCCGCTTGCCTTTCATATCCTTTTATTGGATATTTATGGATATGTCCTCAAAGATTGATCCAATCTGGTTCCCCTACCATTCTTTACCTCTTCAATCCTTTTTGTTTTCCTCTTTTTTCCAATTTTATGATCCAGCAATCTACATTAATTTACAACATTGGAAACCTGTTGAGGTATGTCAAGAACGCCAAAACTCCTGATGGAAGCAGAAAGATGATTTTTGACCGTTTGGAATCTATCTTGAAAGGGTTGAGGCAAGGAGGTGAGGCAAAGTCTCGCAAAGGTTGGCTGCTGCTTGTGCGTGATATTTGTTTGTATGTCTCGCACCACCAAAAGCATGCGAAGTAGGTGGTACTACTGTGGACGGAAGCAAAAGCATGCGAAGTAGGTGGTACTACTGTGGACGGAAGAAATCCTAATCACCACCTGGGATGGTAGAAAAACAAAAAATAATAAAAAATAAATATAAATAATTTAATGGGTCAAAAAAATTATCAAGTGGTGCCGGATTTCTTCCATCCACAGTAGGTTGGGTGTACAGTTTAGTCTTTTGCCATGTTGATGTGGAACAAGGGATGGCTGCAATTCGACAATCTGAATGATTGTCCGCAGGGCGGCTGGACGACGCACGTCAGAAACTGGCATGGCTTGAGGAGAAAAAAGCGGAAATGTGGAACAGGAGTTTCCCTCTACAAAATGGAGTTTTGTACATTTCAGGGTTTCCAAGTGAGACCAAGGTTCTCTCACAGCATCCCTCTACAAAATGGACTTTGCATTTGTGAAGGCTTTCTTTATTCCAAGTAGCCATTCTGCTTACATGTGTGCTCATGCCAGGTTCCCCATTTTGTAGAGGCCAGCGGTTGTGAAAATCACAAAAATGCAAAAAAAAGAGGGTTGGGTGCCCTGATTTTGTAGAGAAGATGCCTTGCTACATTTGTGGCAGGTTCCTGATTTTGTAGAGGTCTGGGGCCCCAAAAGTCAGGTTTGGCACTACAAAATGGGGACACCCAACCCCCCCAGGTCATTTTTTGGGGGTATCTTTTTGATGGTTTTTGGATGTTTTTGGGATAATTGGGTTGGTTTTTGGACAAACAATGACAAACATGCTAGCTTCCCCAAAGTGATGTCTTGAATTTCGCGGGCCATGCTAACGGAGGGCCTTTAGGAACCTTGGTGCCTCAGATTTTGTTTGTAGATTTTGTATGATTCTGTTGAGGTTGGGGGCTTAAGGCAGGCCATGGACTGGATTCTGTGAGGTGTTTGGTTCCAACCACCATCCATGAATTGGCCCTCCCAAGGCTCCCAAGTATTTCTTGTAAAATTCACTATAAAATCAATTTCAAGCCCCCAAGTCGGATAAAAAGGGATACAACACATATAAAACATGCAAGTTCATTGCTGTATAAAATTGGGGTTCCACCCCCTAAGAAATGACAAAACCCTTACAAAATACAAGATACAATCCCAGGGAGACGCCACAAACCTTATAAAACTTTGCATTGAGCACGCAGGACGCGCGGAAATAGATTTTCGAAAAAGCGGTCACTTGCAGCCACTCGAGTGACCGCAAGTGACCGCGAGAAACCGGCCACTCGAGTGACCGCAAGTGACCGCAACCGCAAGAGACGCGGCCACTGGAGTGACCGCAAGAGACCGCAAGTGGCCGCAAAAGACCCGCCACTCGAGTGACCGCAAGAGACCGCAAGAGACCGCAAGAGACGCGGCCACTCGAGTGACCGCAAGTGACCGCAAGTGACCGCAAGAGACACGGCCACTCGAGTGACCGCAAGTAACCGCAAGTGACCGCAAGAGACGCGGCCACTCGAGTGACCGCAAGTGACCGCAAGTGACCGCAAGTGACCGCAAGTGACCGCAAGTGACCGCAAGTGACCGCAATATAGATGGGCCACTCGAGTGACCGCAAGTGACCGCAAAAGACCGGTCACTCGAGTGACCGCAAGTGACCGCAAGTGACCGCAAGAGACGCGGCCACTCGAGTGACCGCAAGTGACCGCAAAAGACCCGTCACTCGAGTGACCGCAAGTGACCGCAAGAGACCGCAAGTGACCGAAAGTGACCGCAAATGACTGCAAGTGACCGCAAGTGACCGCAAGAGATGCGGCCACTTGAGTGACCGCAAGTGACCGCAAGTGAGTCGCTTGAAACGAAAGGAGGCGACTTGAAACGACATGGAGGCACTGAAACGAACAGGGGTTACTTGAAACCAAAAAGGCAAAACTGACCTAGGAAGGGACAGGCCTGAAACGAAAGAGGACTCTTCGAAACCAAAGGACGTGTGGAAAACGAAAGAGAAAGGAGCTTACTTTGAAGCGAAAAGAGATGATTTGAAACGAAGCAGAGGCGGGAAACGAAAAGGGATGACTTGAAACCAAAAAGGCAAAACTGACCAGGGACCGGCCTGCAACGAAAGAGGGCTCTTCTAAACCAAAGGACGTGTGGAAAACCAAAGGGAAAGGAAATGAAAGGAACAAAAGGAGATTTGTTGCTGCTGCTGCTGTTGTTGTTTGTTGTTTGTTGTTTGTTGTTTGTTGTTTGTTGTTTGTTTGTTGTTTGTTGTTTGTTGTTTGTGTTGTTTGTTGTTTGTGTTGTTTGTTGTTGTTTGTTGTTTGTTGTTTGTTGTTTGTGTTGCTTGTTGCTTGTTGCTTGTTGCTTGTTGCTTGTTGCTTGTTGCTTGTTGCTTGTTGCTTGTTGCTTGTTGCTTCTTGCTTCTTGTTGTTGTTGTTGTTGTTGTTGTTGTTGTTGTTGTTGTTGTTGATTGTTGATTGTTGTTTGTTGATTGTTGTTTGTTGATTGTTGGTTGTTGATTGTTGATTGTTGATTGTTGATTGTTAGTTGTTGGTTGTTGGTTGTTGGTTGTTGGTTGTTGGTTGTTGGTTGGTGGTTGTTGTGGTTGTTGTGGTTGTTGTGGTTGTTGTGGTGGTTGTTGTTGTTGTTGATGGTCATGATGATGGTGATGATGACAATGATGATCTTGCAACACATGATCTCAAAATGATTCAACACTATGACAATGATGACGACGATTATGAGGATTATGTCGATGATGATGATGATGATGATGCTGGTGAGGATGATGATGAATATTTTGACCAAGATAATGATGATTATGACGATGATGACGATGATGACGATGATGACGATGACGACGAGGAGGACGACGAGGACGACGAAGAGGACGACGAGGACGACGAGGAGGACGATGAGGACGACGAGGACGACGAGGACGACGAAGACGACGAGGACGACGAGGACGACGAGGACGACGAGGACGACGAGGACGACGAGGACGACGAGGACGACGCGGACGACAAGGACGACGCGGACGACGAGGACGACGAGGACGACGAGGACGACGAGGACGACGAGGACGACGAGGACGACGAGGACGACGAGGACCACGAGGACCACGAGGACCACGAGGACCACGAGGACCACGAGGACCACGAGGACCACGAGGACCACGAGGACCACGAGGACCACGAGGACCACGAGGACGAGGACGAGGAGGACGAGGAGGAGGAGGATGATGATGATGATGGATGTTGGATGATGGATGATGATGATTCTGGAGTCACGCAAGCAGATTTCGGAGTCACAAGCGGGTTTTGCCAAGGTTTATTCAATCCGTTATGCGTCTCCTTAAATTTTATAAGGGTTGTGCGTTTCCGTGGGGTTGGAACCCGGATTTTATAAGGTATGCGTTGGGATTAAAATTTTAGAAGGTGCGCGCATTCGTGGTTGGAAACGTTGGAAACAAAAGTTTCAGAGAGCGCGTGTCGGGGCTAGATTTTGATTTTGGAAGAAGAGGTCTCTTGCGGTCACTTGCAGTCATTTGCGGTCACTCGAGTGGCCGCGTCTCTTGCGGTCACTTGCGGTCACTCGAGTGGCCCATCTATATTGCGGTCACTTTTGAAGTCACTTGCGGTCACTTGCGGTCACTTGCGGTCACTTGCGGTCACTCGAGTGGCCGCATCTCTTGCGGTCACTTGCGGTCACTTGCGGCCACTCGCGACTTGGCAAAATGGCTCACTTGCGGTCACTTCGCGTCACTTGCGGTCACAGACAGACAGACAGACAGACAGACAGACAGACAGACAGAGAGAGAGAGAGAGAGATAGAGAGAGAGAGAGAGAGACAGAGAGAGAGAGAGAGAGAGTAGGTAGGTAGGTAGGTATGTAGGTAGGTAGTCAGAGAAAGAGAGAAAGAAAGAGAGAAAGAGAGGAGACCTCAACCACCTGTCGGTCCATCAGTGGCTTCGCTCTGCCATCCGTGATTCACAACAACCAACCTCTCCTATAGGTTTCCTATTTCTGAAACTTCCGCCACCGCCTTGTGCGGTACTACTGGTATCCAACTTTCGCAAAACTTTCGCGAAAAAAAAAGTTACTTTCGCGAACTCGAAAAAAACTTTCGCGAGGGTTCCCAACATAACATGAACGGTCTTCGCAATTAAAACTCTTTACAAGGACCTTTAGATCGATCACCACATAGATCTTGCCAAGAGGCCTCTTTAAATTTAAGGCGCTTGTCCAGAGATCTTGCCAAGAGGCCTTTTATATATAGAGATCTGTACAGAGATCTTGCCAAGAGGTCTCTATCAGAGATTTTGCCAAGAGACTCCTTTGAGAGATCTTGTGCCAGAGATCTTGCCAGGAGACCTTTTCAATCTTGTACAGGGACCTGGTGAAGAGAACAGAGATCTTGCTTGCTCAGAGATCTTTTCTAGAGAGCTTGACCAGGCATCTTGCTTTGAGTCCTCTTACAGAGATCTTCTGTGGAGATCTCTTAGAGACACCTGGTACACATAGCCTTACTTGCAGAATCTAACCTGGTATCTCTTCTTCCAGGGTCGCTCTCGTCCTGCTAGCTGGGGGCCACTGATGATTTTGGGTCCTTTCAACCTTTCCCTTTAGAATCCTAACTACACACCCTTTGGACGCGGGAAGGGACATCAAAGCGGCAACAAATTTCGGTCTGCCTCCTGCAGCTGCAATATACCCTCTCATTGTCCCCATGGGAACTCCACCTGTATGTCCGCAGCCTAGATTTTATAAGGATGTCACCGGATGTCCTTTTAGAATCAAGGAAGCAGCCCTTTTAAGGCTACGTATTCCCTTTTGAAATCAAGGCATCGACATGTCCATTCCCACCGAATTATATATATATATAATTCATTATAATTCCTTTTAAATGGAGGACCCGATATAGACAAAACCAGCAGTGCTTTTGCTTATAATTCTCGGGACCCAACATAGGAAAAACCAACCACAAAATATGAGAGCATTGTTGCTGTTTGCTAGGCTTATGTAGGCTTGTAAAGCGTACAGATTCGATAAGGAAATCTTGTACGCGTGTGAGACATGCTGGGCTGATACACGGATTGAGATCCTATCAGCAATGGTACCATGCAATGGTTGTTTATCCCTGAGCGGAATGCTTTGCGTAAGGTTTGGGTCTCCGAATTCTTTTAAGCCCATTAAAACCATGTTCCGAGTCATAAGGCATAAGGACATCGTATGAGCCAAGCTGCCGGCATAGAGGTGAAATTCCTT